TTGTCCCACATAGAAAAATGTTGAAACTAATTGAAATTTAAATAAGCCAAATTTGGGCTTGGGCTTGGGCCTAATTGCTTGGGCTTAGGCTTGGGCTTAATTGTAAAGTCCAATTATTCTTTTTACTAAATGGAATCTTGGATTGGGCCTTTAATTTTGGGCTGGGCTTATTTAAATGGGTGGTTAATTTTTTTAATTTAAATTAAAAGTTAGTTTTTTACCAAAGGGTTGCATCTATTTCTAAAAGGTTGCATCTGTTTTTCAAAGAGTTGCATCTATTTCTAAAGGGTTGCAACGTAAAACCAACAGACATAACTATTCATGTGAACCATTGTAACCTATTGGAATGGATGTGTCTATTGGTAAACAGACACCATGTGAACAATTTCAACCAATTGGAGTGGATGTGTCCAGTGTGAAGAGATACATATAAATGGTTGTGTCCAATGATTAAGAGACACACCCAATCCAAAAAGGCACATTAATTAAAAACTACTTTTTAGTTTTTTCCAAAGGGTTGCACCCAATCCGAAAATGCACCTTGTTGCCTATAAATACCCCCCTTTGGATCATTTGTAATTCATTCATTTTTCAATTTCTTCTATCTCCCTCTCTAGACTTGAACCCAACCCAAGTGGGTTCAAACCATAGATTAAGTGGTCCGAACCACTTAGACCCTAATTCAATTTCATCGAGCCATATTAAGATTAGTCTGAACCATTTGGTTCGGATTGCACCCAATTCAACATTTATATAGTATAGATGCATTTTTGAGTCAGAGAGAGTATTACACGGAGGAGGTTTGCCATATTCACAAGTTTGTAGTGCTACTACTGGTGGATGTAGACAGTTGTATCTTGGGAGATAGACGCCACTGAGTCCGTTAGTACCATAGCGGGGCGAATCTGTCTTAAGGACATAGTATCCAATACTAGCCTCGGTCCAGGTTCATTCCTTGTATATTATTATTATTTTATTACTTTATTTTGCATATTTAATTAAATATAGAGTTACATATTTAATTAATGATTTCTTAGCATATTGTTAATTATCATATGACATATTAATATAAGGTTTGTTATATCTTAAATGTCACATGAAGCATATATCTTTCCAACAAATTTTGAGACGTTCTAGGCAAACTTTCAAATGTAAGGCCCTTTATAAGGTTTCACATGTGCAAAAAATGTATAAGAATCCGAAATTTTCATTAATATAAGACGATAAACACATAAAATATATTACTGTTGAAAACACACAAAACAAAACTCGATCTTGGTGCTTTATAAAGAGCACGATCCAGTTTACATAAATAAAATTAAAAGAAATATTCAACATAACTTTGTCAGAAAAATCAGAATTCAACTTCATATCAAAGTAAATGTGATTGTCTTACATTTTGAGCTGCAAAATTATCAATTAAAGTGTTTCAATCAAGTTTTTCCAACATATCTTTTTTAATAGATATCATAGTCAATACATTCAATGTGGCGACCTTATGGACGGGTGTATGTGAGCGTGTGCAGGTGGCACCGGTAGGCTATCACACTGGGCGAGTTACATGTGCACAATCCTACATCGCTTAGGTGTGTAGGGGGCAAGTATTACATGTAAATTCAATACCGTTCTATAACACAACGCGTTTTAAAACCATGATGGCCGCGAACCCACCAGAATTTTAGAGTTAAGCGTGTTTAACCTAGAGTAGTACCAAAGTGGGTGAGCCCCTGGGAAGTCTTTAGTTCGGGGAAGCCAAAAGCGAACAATATTGTATCTGGGTAAGGTGAAGGTTGTTACAAATAGTATCAGAGCCTGACCCAGCCAGAATTGTAGCCAACGAAGACGTTGGACCCCAAAGAGCGGGTGATTGTGGCGACATTGTGGACGGGTGTGTGTGAGCGTGTGCAGGTGGTACCAGTAGGCTACCACACTGGGCGAGTTATAGGTGCACAATCCCACATCGCCTAGGTGTGAAGGGGGTAAGTGCTATATGTAATTCAACACCTTTCTATAACACAACGCGTTTTAAAGCCGTGATGGCCACGAACCCACCAGAACTCTAGATTTAAATGTGCTTAACCTGGAGTAGTACCAGGATGGGTGACCCCCTGGGAAGTCTCTGATTTGGGGGAGCCAAAAGCGGACAATATTGTGTCTGGGTAGGGTGAGGGTTGTTACATTCAATCTCTAGATCTTATGACATCATCGACCGTAGATAAGATTTGATCAATTTCAACTTTGAAAACTTCTCCCAGCAGATGCAACTGTAATTGGATAGTCAATAATACTTTATATGCAATTCAAGCATTAGGAAAATAACTAATTAAACTTTTTATAAAATCAAATACTTCAAGTGTTTTTTTTTGTTCCTTTCGGTAAAGTTTCTCTTAAGACTTGTAACTCTGAAAATAATTTTGTCCCATCAATATCAGAAACCAATTTATATTTTAGGAGACCTTACAAGGTTATTTTGGAAAATGTGGCAGTTGATTACACACATGAGTTAAAATTTTAATTGTTTGAACTGGGCTTAATGGAGCCTCTTATGCATGTGCATGAGCCCAAAAATAATATAATAATAAAATAAACCAGAAAAAAATCTTTATTTCATTTAAAGGGATGGGATAAAAAAATTATTGTTACCATACTAGTTATTGTATAACATATATAGATTGATATTATAAGTACGTGTGTTTATTGTCATAATTTTTTAATTTTTTTTAAAATTTATTTATTGTCATAAATTTACATGTTATATAAGTATGTATTGTCTTTTAATTTTGAAAATTATGGCCTGAATGTGAGATATATGGTACTATTTTGCACTATGGTCCAAAATTTGAGGTCTTTTCAAATTGGAGGCAATAGCGGATCCGAGGGCTGGGCTGGGCTCCAGCGCACCCCAAAATTTTAATTGTTTTTATTATGGGTAAATTTAACCGAGCCAATATATATATATATATATATATATATATATATATATATATATATATATATATATATTATTAGAATTAGCCTATCTAAACAAATCCAAGTCAGTTAAGCCACAATACTAAAATAAAGGTCCAATCCAAACGGCCCAAGCCAAACAAGTCATATCTTGTAATATTTAAATTCAAATATTTATCTAGATTGTGTTATAAAAAAATTTATTTTAAAAATTATGTTATTAAATTTATATTTAATTTTAACCCATTCAATTAATAATTTTTGAATTCACCCTAGTTTGGAGGCATTAGCTGATCCCCTTGGCTGCCTCCCAGGAAGCACCCACATGTTTTTGTTTTGAAGATGTTTGTGTAAATAATTTAGGTCCATTCATTGTGTCTGGTAAAAGACTTGACAAACTATGTACTTTCTGTTTGCACTTGTAAGTTAAGCTTTCCCCACTTGCAGCCCTAAAAAATAGAAGGGAAATGATGAAAATTCTCAACTTGGAGTAGGATTATCACCAAAGCACTTACAATTGTGGGAGCAGTGATTTTCATGCAGATCCACATACTATTATATATCCTTGGGCCTACCCACACCCATCATTTAATACATTTCCGTAGATTTATAATATCAACCTCATTTCTGCACAAGTTTCACATGTTATTTTTTTTTTAAAAAAAATAAAAAATTCACATGATGATTAATACAATTTTATGCCGGCAAATTAAGGGAAGGAGGGACTCGGCTATATCAGTTGCTGAGAGCTTTACTAATTAGGCAACTAAATAATGTTCATAATTATTAAATTAATTATGGTTACCCAATTTACACCAAATTTTGGCAACACATTAGTTTTTATTTTGGCTAACATACTAGATTATTCAACACTTCTCTCACATGGTAGGCAAATCTTTGACTTATGTTCTCTATCTAGACTTATTAATGGATCAGAATTTAATCCGATTATTCATATGCGAATTGAAAAAAAAATTCAATAATCCATTACCTTAACAAATCAGATAAACAATCCAATCCCATAATAATCCGATTCAATTAAAATTGTATATATTATTATTATATATAAGAATGTTATATATATTAGTTATTTACTAGTATTAAATTTATATATATTAATTATTTATCAATATATTCATTTGATTGCATTATGCACTATTCTATATTTTAGCAATTCTTCACTCCATCTAAACTTATAATTATACATGTCATTTTAATTTTTGTAATTATAAAAAATAAAAACTAATAATAATTTGAATCCGGGCTAAATAGAATATGGATTGAAACATTCGATCTGATAACCCGATTTAAATACGATAATTCGTTAACTTAATAAATCAGATATGGATTTAATCGATCCGATCCGAATTTGATCCGTTGACTGATATTTCTATCCCTTATCAACCTCAATACTTGATAAAGCCATGCTAAGAATGTCCAATAATGAACTAGAACAACTTTGAATTAACAAAATTATAAAAAATTCTTTTTGCAAGAATTTGATATGTTATTGATAATTTAATTCATTATTGTATTTGTAATAAACAAGAAACTTTTGTCAGAGAAACCTAACAAATTAACTAATTGCTTAAGAAAACTAATAGTATAAGAAAACAAAAAATATATTAAAAAAAACTACCTAACTGATACTAAAAGAAAGCTAAAGATATAAAAACTATTCAATATTAAACTTTCTTTAAAAAATAGGGAGAAAAGGAAATAATATGAAACCTAATAAAGCTATCCTAACCTTGCAATATAATAATATTTATGTATAATAATAAAAATAATAATAATAAAATAAAACTATCCTACATCAATCCTATTCTTCATTTACTTGAAACAATTTTATACAAATAAATTTTTTTTAGCATTAGAGTCCTGCGGAAAGATATTAACAAGAAAAAAAAAAATATTTAAAAAAATGGGACCCACCAATCAATGGGTCCAGGATATGTAATTCTGATGGACCGTGTAAATTATCCGGGCGATTCTATCCATATAACACGAATGAGAAGTCGTCTTCGATACGACACGAGTCGCACAGACTGAAGCCAGCACAGAGATTGATTGATATATAGATAGATACATATAGATGGAGGTAGAGAAATAGGGAGAGATGGCGGTGGCAAATACAGTGGGCACGGGACATTTGGTCCCAATGCCCCAATTCAGGCACTCGCTATCTTCTTCTGCTCCTCCTCCTCCTCCTCCTTCTTCTTCTTCTTGTTATTTTGATTTCTTGGCTAAGAACTCTGTAAATCTGAGATTTGTATTGGGATTCGGTCGGATTGGTCACAAACCTCTTCTTAGAAAATTCAAGAATTCCAAGCTGGGTTGCCGTTGCAGCACTGACAATAACAATCACAACAACAATATTTCTTCTTCTTCACAGTGGGATTGGAATCGATGGACCCGCCACTTCTCTGAAATTGAACAGGCCGAGACCTTTGCCTCTATTCTCAAGGTTTCCTCTCTCTCTATATGTATACATACACTTGGGCACATCATTAATTACTTGTAATTGTGAAGTGGGTTGTTAACATATAGTGCCTAATAGCTGAAATTAATGGAAATTTATTACAATCTGCTGATGTTTTATTGTTCATTAAGGTACCCATTGAAAAATTCGCTTTGTGATTAGTTCAACTGATAATCTTTGTTTTTTTGTTTAGTGGGTTCTTAATTTTAAGTGTTCAAATTGAATTTTAGGTGTAAGTTAATAGCTGTATGGTGGTTATTTATGGTTGTTCTTGCTAAGCTCTGTACATATTTTCGCGGCAGTCGACAGTATGAGAACTGGAAAATAGAAGTAGGCCTAAAAGAGTTTGAGAATGGGCTGGGTGATAAAGAAGTGCGAGAGTTTGAACATGACTGAAAAACTTGTCCTTGTTAAGAGTACTAGAAACTAAAAGGCTGCTGATAGTCTTCCCTATCTTTGGATGGCATGAAAGTTGTGCATCCCAGTAAAAGGACAAAACTCTCAAGGCTGGTCTTATCCTGTTCTATGTAGCATGATTATTACTGCAAATTTTAGAGGATGTCTAAAGTTCCACAGAGGACACAGTGTGCAATGACAGGAAGTAAAAGAAGTTGATTGCTTATAATTTTGATGTATATAGTGCAACAGTGCACACAACACTACATATACATGCACCTTTCGTAAATTAAAATGGTCAACTGGAATTCTATCCTTATATAGTATGCACTTTTTGTACATTATCGGGAACATGAATTTGTTTAAAGTTTAAACTAATAGGGATGGAGGTTAAAGGGATTTTGTAGATGTGCGCTTTGGATATAATGCAATTGGACTGATTTGATGCAGTTTTAAGGGTTTATGCCTTAATTTGTGACTTCCATGAGGTCACAAATTGAATGCCATTATACAACTCCAGCCTCTTCACTCAGCTATATCAATCATTTTGATTTTCCAAATCAAAAGCCACTTTACAATCCTTTTGCTGTCATAAACCTCGAAATGGTCATGATACACTTAAAATAAATGGTCTTCCCCTTCTAGTTTTTCCATGAAGCTGATGGTTCAAATTAATATGCAAGAGCCTGACCTTAGTGCAGCCTTTAGTCGGTTATATCAACACCACTAATGTCTCACTTTTAGAGGTGGACTTTTTTTTATCAGCTAATTGTTGATCTTCTTCTGCTGCAGTAAAGATAACAATGAATTATTTTCATCTATTTTACTGATATGGAATTAGGATAACGCTTTAAATTCTATATTCAAGATCTACTTTTCCATAGTACCAAGTTTAGCCTAGAAAGTATTCAAGCAGAATTCTTGAATACTTTTAAACATGTACAAGGAAAATATAACAGGGAGAGTTGAAAGCCAACAAACACTTTACGTTAAAAGTACAACTTGCAAATTCTTTATTACTTCAAGAATTCAGCTTGTATGTTTCCCTTAGATTTTGTTAGAATTGTTTGGGTAATGTTATTTGACTATAGGTTGAATGTGGGGAGATCCATCCTCGGTTGAAGTTATATAATTATGGAAAAACAAAATTTTTCCATATTTTGTGGTATTCTATCCTCATTTTTTTCTTTTTTCCTGAAGATAAACACAACTTATGCTCCCACTGTCTGTTTTTAACTTTTTACTGTTTGCTATTCTTTACAGTTTCAACTAGAAGATGCAATAGAGAAGGAAGACTTCCAGGATGCTGCAAAGTTGAAAATGGCTATTGCAGAAGCAACATCAAAGGACACTGTTACTGTAATTATGTCTCAGTTGAAGGTTGGATCTTTAGTTGGATGGAAAGTAGTAACTATTATTTATGACCTTCATGCATATAATTTTGGCTCCTGATCTAATTTCTGTGTTTCTTTGCAGAATGCAATAGAAGAAGAGCGTTACCATGATGCTTCGAGGTTATGTAGAAGTACAGGAAGTGGGCTGGTAATTTTCTTAGCTAATCCATCTGTCCCAAACTTTGACATTCCATCTTCATTTTTCTTGATGTCCCACCATAAATTTGCTCTTTGATAAGTTGATATACAAAGTTGTGTTATCTCCCAAGCCATCCTTTTTGATTGAATTTGAATTTATTAATATACTTTGCACATTGAGTTTGAATTCATCTAATGCTGAATTTATTAATATACTCAACACATTCAGTTTGAATTCATCTAATGCTTGTTCTTTGGGAAAGTTGGAATTCTCAAAATGGACAAATAATTTGGGATGGACAGATCACTTTTTGTGTTATATATGATATCTCTCATTTGTTAGTGACCTCGGTCAGAAGGCATAAACTCTAGATGACTATTAAGTGCTCTTTTATTTCTTCCTTGTTGCTGCTATTAATTTCGTTCTTTCTTAGGAGCCATTGGTAAAATATTATAGAGAAAGGCAAAGATACATATATCAGGAAGAATAATTTTTTTATGTCTTGAAATATCTGGTTATACTTTCATCCAACAAGGGGTCTAATTCTTTCATGTTTCTTATTATGTTTTTTGAATATTTCTACTTAACTTAATGGTTGGAGTCTATTTAGATCGTCCCAGACTTGTCATATTATTTTTGTTGTTGGTAGTACGACTTTTCATTTCTTGGTTGGTCTTTCAATGCGTAGTCAACTGCAGGCTAAGAAGCCCCGTACTGAGCGTACTCAGACTTAACATTGATTGATGCAGCTGATAGAGAGAGTGCACCAGTCCAGGGGCGAAGCCTTTTTTTTTTTTGTGGGGGGGGGGGGGGGGGGGGGGGTGGGTGGTGGGCGGAATTTGTACTATTTATTTAAAATTTATAAACCAATTGTAATGTAATTTTTTTTAATATTATTCATAGTGTATATACCTTGAAAAAATCGAGTATTGAGAAAAATGCAACTTAAAATAAATAGATGGAAAACTAATATGAGAAAGAAAAATATAGAGAGGAGGAAACGATAGTTTTTAATTAAAAAGAGAAGAGGTAAAGAACAAAGCATTGCTAGAGAATCAATTTTCCTTCAGCAAATGTTTCAGTTTTTCAAAAATCCAATTTTTGGAAAAAGGTTTTGAGTACTTTGATTCTAGTTCGGAAAAGATATATCATTATTATTTAGGTGAAATATTAAGAAAAAAAAAATAATGATTTTTACTAAACAAAATATCTCATTTTTTTAGCAAAACAAGATTATTAATTTAGTAACTTGTACAAGAAATAGTCATAGAATTTGTCATTTAGCAAGTGACAATTAAAAATATTAGCATATATGATATCATTGTTGTTGATGACAATCTCACAACACTTTAGTTTCTTCTCCTTTTGAGTAGTCCCAGCTCGCCAATGGAGATTGGTATATAATTATAGAATTTTCTTGTAAACATCATTTCACAAAAATGTTTGACAAAAAAGTTTCATGCAGTTTTATTAAACATGAGGGGACATTAGTGTATTTTTCTCCTTTTTCTCTCTTGCATTAATGTAATGGATATTGTGCATTAATGTAATGGGGGGGAGTGGGTTGTGGTGTGTGGTGGGTGGGTGGGGAACCCTGTCCCGCCTCCCCTCTGCATAGTTGTTCCGCCAGACTTGCAAGCATTGGCAGTATGCAGTGGCAATTTTCAATCATATAATGTCTACATGTAGTAACTTGTAGCAATAGTCAACTGTCCTTAACTCCTCTTTGGTCCTTAATATTATTTATACATTTACTATAATTGTTACAACATAGAGAACTCATGTCTCGACTTGGACATGAACGCTAGACCTTCCCTTATGAGGCGGCAAGATATACCACTTAATCTAGACAGCTAATGCTCTTGTTATATTATTAACATTATCATTGAAAACAGGAAAAAATAGATATTAATGAAAAGAATTTATATGCTAATCAAAGAAAATGAAGAAGAGAGCGCACACACACACATATATATATATTATTAAAAGTACAAAGAGTTTCAGTACATTAAAGAGTTTCAGTACATTAATTTATAATAAAAGCAAATACTATTAATAATATAGTAGTAGGAAATACTAAAATTCAATAAAAGAAAATCTAATTCAAGAAGGAAATAGTTATAGAACATTATTTTACAATTATCATATAATAAAAGGAAATACTGATACTAATAATAATATAGTAGTAGGAAATACTGAAATTCAATAAAAAGAAATCTAATTATAGAAGGAAATATATAACATTAAAGAATTAAACTAATGAAATTCAATAAAAGGAAATCTAATTCGAGAAGGAAATATATAATATTAAAAAAATTATTTATTTAATTAAATAAAAGAAAATATAATTAGAGAATAAAATACTAATAATAATAATATAGTAGTAGGAAATACTGAAATTCAATAAAAAGAAATCTAATTAGAGAATGAAATACTAATAATAATAATAATATAGTAGTAGGAAATACTGAAATTCAATAAATGGAAATCTAATTAGAGAAGGAAATATATAATATTAAAAAACTTATTTAATAATATAGTAGTAGCAAATACTAATAATATATACTATATTATTAAAAGTACAAAGAGTTTTAGTACATTTATAATATTTAAAAATTGAATCAAGGAAATCAATAAAATAAAATCTAATTAAAGAAGGAAATATATAATACCACGTGCATCACATGTGTGCTTGACTAGTATATATATATATATATATATATATCTTAGTTTGAGGGTTATGTTACATGGACTTGGGTACGTGTGTCGGGTGCATGTACGTATTCAAGTATTGGATGTGTTAATTTCCCAAACATAAGTATTCAAATTATTTAATATATATATATATATATTTAAGAGTAATATATATATATAATATTAGCACCCTTTTTTGTTGCATCCTAGGGAGAAATTGTAAATCCATGGATGAAATTGTTGCTTTTTTGGATTCGTTGAGGGTTTAAAGGCCCTATTTGGCCTTGTCTAGCTTTTGAGGGACTTGTTCCCCTTTTCTGTTTCTTTTGGTGATGGAAGCTCTTAGCAGAATGATTTCAAGGGCTGTGGACTTGGGCTTTTGAGAGGTTTCAGGGTGGGTAGGGATGCTGCCAGTCTGATGGAGATTTCTTATTCTCATTAGATTTTTTTTCGTGAACTGCCTACTTCGCAATTACATCCACTTATGCTGGATTATGTGTTTTTGGTGGCTGCAATACAATTTTTTCAACTATGTAAACATGGTGATGTATCTCATTTTGATTATTATACTTCAAGTATGTGAGTTAATGATTTTTATTTTTTTGGTTACTGCTTAATGATATAAAGGGAAAATATTAGGAGAAAAATAATAAAAGAAGTGGAAAATTGTCTTTATGTCACTATGTTTGTTAAGGCTTGAGAAGGTGAAAGGTTAGAGAGGAATAAACCTAAGCTTTTGCTGAAGTGATTTTACCTTTTGCAGATATGTTGTTCCCTGAGTTCCATTTTATACTCTCCCCATCTCTCCTCATTGGGGTGAAAAAAATAGAGCCAGAAAAGAGAAAATTGCAAAAATCTTTTTTTCTACTTCTATTCTTTTTCTCTCTTAATGAGGGCCCAAGAAATATAGGACTTCTAATCCGTTTTTGTTTGTTCTTACCCCCACCGACAGTGTAGGTGTAAGTTTCTCTTGCCATTTTCAGTAAACATTTATTAATTTTGTGTACAGGTTGGTTGGTGGGTGGGCTGGTCAAAGGATTCTGATGACCCCTTTGGCAGATTACTGCGTATAACTCCTGGTGTGGGCAGATTTGTTGGCAGGAGTTACAGTCCAAGGTAGTTCCATCATAAAAAAAATATTAAAAATTTCTGTCTTTGAGTAATCTATGATTTCCCGGAGTCAATATTGATGATTGTTTATTGCAGACAGTTGGTTAATGCATCTCCTGGAACTCCAGTGTTTGAAATTTTTGTTGTCAAAGATGTTGAGGAGACATATATCATGCAGGTAACATGCACATGCTTATTTTTTTAATAAACGATGTTTTAAAGTTAAAACTTATGATATTAAGAGTGGCATGGCTTTCTGTTATCTAGTTTTGAGTTGATATGACTTACGTACTACTGAGCTTTCTGATATCTAGTTTTGAGTTGATATGACTACGATTAGAAATCAACTTTTTGATCTTCATCCATGTACTTCACACTAATGAGTTTGAGCCAGCAAAGTAAGTGTCGGCATAAAGTTAGTGCACATGGGATTTTTCTATCAATGTTATTTGAAGTGAACAGGAAGTACATGTGCATATGTGTGTGCACACAAACACACACACGACAAACATTTGTATGCTGTAATCATGGTGCTGGGTGATTGTTTTTGAGTTATATGTGCCGAATAAAGTTTTCAAGTTCAATATATCTGTAGAACTCGTGAGTTGACACCCATAAGCACTTTGTACAGATCTGGGTTAGCTGGTAGGCCATGAAAAGGACCAAGCTTGAAGAGGCCCATACGAAACTAAAGTGTGGGCCCAAGTCCCAATGGCCCCAACCAGACTTTGATATGAAGCTGAGGGTGATATTTTGTTAACAATATTTAATTTAATTTACAGATGTATATAATATATACTTTTATTTTAAGATAGATAGATAAAAAAGAGTGAATTAACGAAATGTAGTTTGGTTGATATATGCTGGAAAAATTGTCAAGATGTTGATTAATGGATCATCCCTCCAGTTGTGAAGGCAAAGTGATCCTCTTGAGTTTAGTTTATGCCATGCCTTTTTGGTTGTTCCATGACCTTATTTAAGGGTGTTTCCTTTGTTCAAATCATTAATTTTATAAAAAGTTCAAGTTATGGTTTATGGAGTACATATGTACTGTTCTACTTAAATGGATAACTATGATTTGTATAATTTGGTCTGCAAATTATAGATGTATTCCACATTGGCTTGGTCTTGAAATTTAACTGGATTTCAAAATTTGAGCAAATGTCTGTTCTCAACCTCACTGGATCTATCATCTTGTTGGTAGAAATGCTAGTAATATAAAAGTGATATAACTTCCTTGTCATGTTTTTGAACACGTAACAGGAGGTTTTAGGGCAAAACACCCACACTCATTTCAATGATTTCCTTTTTCTGTAGTTGAATCCTTTTTCACTTAGAAATATTACTTCTATCTCTTGAGAGGGCACTAATGTGCCCTCAAAAGTATATTTCCACCTTCTGACCCCTGAAGATCCTCAAATTGTGATTATTTTATCTATTTATTTATTTATTATTATTATTTTTAATAATGAGTATCTGGCCTTGGATCAAGGCCGCGTCTCTGAGAGGACAATCTTGCTCTTTAGGGTCTGTCTGGTTCTCTTAGTCATCCTCATGCATATTAAAAAATTGCTACTGATTTTTTTTGACCTTTTGGCAGGTAGTATTCTTGCAGCGCACCAAAGGAAGTTCAACGAATCATACAGATTCATCATCCAATTCAAAGCCCACAAAATTTCCATCCACTGCCGAAATTGAGAATGCATCCGTTGTTGACATTAAAGGGAGTGAAAATAAAGCAGAAAAAAGTGAAGAGAAGAGCATAAATAATGATGGAGAAACTGAGGAAGGGATAAGCAGTGTTATAAATTTTCTCAAAGAAAAAATCCCAGAATTGAAAGTAAAAGTCATGAAATTTAATGGTACTGGAGAAACAGTAGACGATAATGATTCTGTAGAGCAGTTGATTCAAGAAGATGATGAGAGTAAAATGGCTGGTAAGACTTCTGAAGACGAAGGTAGTAATATGGATGATATTCAGCCTGACCGGGTTGCTCTGGGTGGAGATAGTGACACAACTGAAGATGGAAAGAACTTAGACATGAAGCTTTTTATTGGTGGAGTTTTACATAATAAAGAGGATACTCCTACGAAGGACGAGTATGTGCGTGTACCAGCTGAAATTAATGATTTTGAGAGAGATTCTTTTGTGCTACATGTTCCAATAAAAAGCCAAGAACATGATGCTGAAGAAAGTATAGTATCCAAAGTTAAAGTGGCAGCTATAGCAGCCCAAGGTATTTCTGAGCTCATGCCTCCTGATGTTGCCAAAGCATTTTTGAGTTCTGATAAGGTTTCTTCAAAGGTGAGATACATATTTGTTTATGTTTATTCAGGAAAATCAAATTTGGCCTTATGATTTTAACTATGGACTAGTTCTGAAAATTTCTGCTTGCTTTGTTTTATCAATGGGGTTTTTGAGTTACATAAGATTATGGCAGGAAATAACTTGAATCACAGTGAACTGTTGATTTTCGTTTATTTCTGTTTTATGAAATAGAGGGAAGCACCCTTGTGCAATTTCCTATTCTTTTTTTTTATTTATGCAGTATCTTAGCTCCAGGCAATCCCTGTTTTAAAAATGATCAAGGCTACAGAACTAGTTTTAGCATTAATTTCATTTGGCTGCAATTTAAGAGAAGACACTGGAATTTCAAGTTATTAGAAATATTGGAATTTTGTATAGAAGAAAATCCTCATTCTGGAATGGGTTAGAATTGAAATGGAACTTGTGATCAAACCATCCTCCTCCTTTTTGGTGCAAACCACCTTTCTTCTTTTAGTCCAGGTATGCTTTTGTGGACCACAAATTATTAATTGCTATCATTATCACAGGTTTCTAGAGATTTGCGTGAGATTGTTAAACTTGCTGTTACTCAGGCACAGAAGCGGGATCGATTATCTGAGTATACAAATTTTTCTCGAATTACCACTTCCAAAGGCGACTTAGATCCTTTTGATGGTGAGTTTACTTGTCTCTATTTTTCTCCATCCCTCTACCCATTTTAATAATCAATATGAGCAAAAACACCATCTTTGAGAACGAAACCTGCTGATTCTAGTGTAGGCCTATATGTTGGTGCCTTTGGCCCTTATGGCACTGAGGTGGTGCAATTGAGGCGTAAATATGGGAGCTGGAATGCTGTGGATGATGCTGATGAATCTTCGGATATGGAGTTCTTCGAGTATGTTGAGGCAGTAAAGCTGACAGGGGATCTAAATGTTCCTGCTGGCCAGGTTAGTAGCTTTTAGTCATTTCTCAGTAGTTGCCTGCTTTTTTAGTCCATTTTTTCTGGTGGTTTTAGTGGCTTACATATCACATGCAGTTTCTTGATTATTATGTATGTTGGGGGACAGTTTGTATATTAATCAATGTTTTTTCGATCTTTAGGTGACATTTCGTGCAAAAATTGGTAAAGGGAGTCGCATATCCAACCAGGGGATGTATCCAGATGAATTGGGAGTGGTAATTATGCTTGCAAGTTGTTGTGTGCGCGCGTGTCTATGTCTGTGCAAGTGTGGTTGTCTGTGGAAAAGTCATTCTTTGGCTATATATGTAGTTATTTATGTAATTATGTTATGCTTTGAATAGGAATCGAGTGGAGTGAATCAAGCATTTGTCTGTTTGAGTCCAGCTCGATCAAATCAAATAGCTGTCTGAGCTCAGCTTGAGGTCAAGTCAAGTCTAGTTATGAGTGTTATAGTTCAGTTTGGATGCTGTTTGTGAAGCTTGAGCTTGACCATTTGCTTCATTTAGCTAAAACAAACACAAACCGTGTCCGAACTATTCATGAACCATTCAGTTCATGTGAATCCCTAGCATTAAATAAAAGCATATCTACATTACAATATAAGCCTTCCTCAACATCCGTTCTTAATGCTCCCATTATTGTAACTAGTCCACTGTGCATACCAAGTATGCTTGTTATGTTGGTTTACATCATACACAAAGTAGCATTGACACGCACGTGATAAGATAGATACATGAAGATCCGAAAGAATTAGACATGGACACAATAATTTATAAAAATAAATTTGTATATATACATATATTATATATGACTTATAAAGGTGGGATTAATTTTTTGAATTTCTATATTAAGAATTGCAATATGGAAGATGAAGCTTAACAGGCACTATAATGATGGATGATCATATAATGCATCTCTATTATTTTTTACTATATTCTTGTTCGTTGAGTCGAGATGAGTGGTTTTCTGTTGTATCCATGTCTGTTGGGAAAGGAGGCATTGCCAATCTACTTTTCTTAGTTCTCAGTTGCTAGTTCTGCAGATATGGTGATAAAAGAGGAAGGAGAGAATCTTATTTTAGGGTATTTTTGTCCATTAGAATAATATTTTGAAATTTTACCACTTTAAGTGTGTTCTGACTTCAGTGGTAAGTGAAGTCATTATCCCTTCAATCTACTTTTCTTTGTTCTTTGTCCCACATTCTGCAGATATATGGTAGAGGAAGGAGAGAATTTTATTGTAGGGTAATTTTGTCCATTAGAATAATATTGTGTAACCTTTACCATTTGGTGTGTTCCGACTTCAGTGGTAAGTGAAGTCCTTATCCCTTAAAATTTTGACCTTTCCTGAATGGTGCTTGATTATTGTAAGTGATAACATAATATACAGGTTGCAAGTTACAAAGGTCAGGGAAGGATTGCAGAATTTGGGTTCCGAAATCCAAAGTGGGTGGAGGGTGAACTTCTTCAACTCAATGGCAAGGTAACAAATTTGTCCAACATCTTCGCTACCATTCTTTTGATACTGACCTATGTAAAGAGCTTGAAATTTAAATTATTGGGCTATGGTTTATTTAACTTTTTTCATTTTAAAATTTATCTACTGTTATTTTATTGCAGGGCATGGGACCATATGTCAAAGGCGCAGACCTCGGTTTCCTTTATGTTGTACCTGAGCAAAGTTTCCTTGTGCTGTTCAACCGTTTGAAACTACCGGACTGAGGCATGTTAGTGCGAACTATCTAATCTGACACCCCTTCCATGCGGCAAGACTTTGAGAAGATCGTAGCAGTTAAGTCTTCTTTGAGAGTAGAAGTCAGTTTTTCCAACAATGTAGCTTACACAAGCAGTTGTTTCATTCTTACGTGTTAATATTTTTCTCAAAAAATAAGATAAAAGTTTCTGAAGTGTATAATATTTGCTTGCTGGCTGAACGGCTATAAGAGTCAAAGCGGATAATTGTACTGTTTAGGAAGGGTTGTGGTATGAGTGGTTTAAGGGTTTTTGTTAGCTTTGTTCCATAAAATTTCATATAGTGTTAGTTACACGTCTTGTGCAAACTACCTACCTGCATAAATAAACCATGCTCATCAACTATATTCATTTCCTCATGTCCAGTTGTTGCTGAAGCTTCCCAATTTGGATTTTCGGTGGGAATGAATTGGAGTTGAAGTTAGGGTTTTTCTATAATTTGAGAGCTTGTTGCTAAGAACAATGTGAATATATCATGGGGCAACTCTTAAAAACAGGATAAAATTATAAAGGCCATTGTATATTTGTCAATTTTAAAAGTTGTAGAACACTTGAAATCCATTCACGTTTTAGAATTTAGGTCGAAAAACTGTTGATGATATCCATATTTTGTTGTAGATTCTTGTGCATATTATTCACGAGGCTGTTTGAAAAATGCATAGGATTACTGTTATTGTGATAGAATAATTTTGTAGTGTCCATGGCCAACATAAAAGGGCAATCAATAAGGTGTTTGTTGTATTATCAAGGCATTCAAGGTAATTGTGATTGAAGAACAAAATCTTCTAGGGTTCCTTAAAATAGAAGGAAAAAGTTCTGGTGGTTTATTTTTGTTATTAACACAGTTAAAAGGGGGTTCAGGATAAATAGTAAAGAACTCATGGTATGGGTATGAGGTGATGTTTATTTATTTATTATTATTTATAATTTTATTTATTTATTTATTTATTTTTATTCTCTCATGGGTAAAAATTCTTTTGGAACACTGTTCTTATTTACAGGGAATATATATATTCTTTCTGGATGCCGACAAGTGTAGTATCTGAATAAAGAATGAATTGTGTGATTCCTATTGTTGTTTTATCATAATCATCATCCTATATAAATAGGGTCCGTGAATTCTTTTTTACATGGGAGATGGAATAAGAGAGGTTGAGGAATTCCTTCAGCAGAAGGAAAAGGTAAAGTTGGGAGGAATCTATGCCTTCATTTTGCAGGAGAAAGCCCACCCTCCAAGAAACATGAAAGCACCTCACAAAATATCCATTGAAAGTGGGAAAGAAAGAGAAGAAACAATTATTTTATTATGTGAAGGAAATAGAGAGTAAGAGAACTCATGATGGAATGGGAAATGTTCAATTTCTTATCCCCTTCCTTCAAGTTCCATTCTAACTCCTTTTCCTCTCACAATTTTAAAAAATAAAAATAAAAATAATAGCAAATGAAGAGTAATGCTTCGTTTGGCAGGAAGAAAAGAAGAGGGGTGGAGGAAGACAAAAAGAAGAAACAAATTTCTTTCGTTTAGTAAAGAAGAGACAACGAGAAAAGAGTATCGACGAGTGATCATTCTTCCTTCATAAATTTTATTCCCTTCAAATATGGACGAAAAACACGAAGGCAGAAAGAGAATATTATTATAAATGTTTTTAAATTACAAAATTTTCCTTATATTAGCAATTTCACTTCCCTTCTTTTCTAACAAACAAACAAAATAAGGCATTATCTAATTATTTTCTCTTCCACCTAATTTAAATAAAAGAAAGAGGAGTACACAATCTCTTTATTAGAATGGTAAGAGAGCGATTTAAAAAAATAAAAATTGGGCCAACACCAGCATGACAAGGTCACGGCCACGTTTCAACTGTCTTGCACTTGTTACTGCCCACCAATTCATTGATCAACTATGCTTTAACCTTGGATTGTTAGTGATGTTTCAATAGCTCTGTCATTCAAAGTAATATCAAGAGTTTACGAATTGCCGGAACAACTCATTTGTTCATTTAACAAGTGTGGGGTTAGAGGTTTGTCCATAACGGATTCAAAGTAAAATAGATATATATGGATTAGGTATTAGTCCCAACTAATAGCTTAAGCTTTTAGTTAAATTGCGAAACACCCTCTTGTTACATATGGATTCTACTATGTAAAAGATTTATATGTACCTTATGTAATAGTCATGACTCATGCTTGTATATAGTTCTTAGTCAAGCATCATTGGGTGGCAATGTCAAAGTTTATCGAGATATCATAAAGGTCATATATGGCGACCTTGTGGGCAAGTGTGTCGTGGGCTGATGCGAGGCACTAACAAGTTACTATACTGGACGAGTTACGAGTGTACAATCCTACATCACCTAGGTAAGGGAAAGGTGAATTGCTTATATGTGGTGGTGTTATCTTCAATTAGTATGAGACTTTTTGGGATAAAACCCAATAGCAGAACTGTACAGGCTCAGGCCTAAAGCGGACAATTTCATACCATGTGGTGGAGTGGGTTGTTACAAATGGTATCAGATCCTGACCCAGCCGAAAATGTGGTCAACGGGGGTGTTGGGCCCTAAAAGGGGGTGATTGTGGCGACCTTGTGGACGAGTGCAAGAGGCACTGACAGGCTACCACACTGGGCGAGCTATAGGCCGTCTGGGTAAAGGAAAGGCCAAGTCCTTATATGTGGTGATATTATCTCTAATTGGTATGAGGTATTTTGGGGGTAAAGCCCAATAACAAAACCATGTGGGCTCGAGCTTAAAGCAGACATATCATATCATATGGTGGAGTGGGTCGTTACAAATGGTATTAAAGTTTGACCCAGCTGGAAATGTGGCCAACGAAGATGTTGGGCCCCAAAGGAGGGGTGATTGTGGCAACCTTATGTGCGGGTGTGAGGCACTAGCAGACTACCACACTGGGCGAGCTATGGGTGTACAATCACACATCGTCTGGGTAAGGAAAATATGAAGTGCATATATGTGGTGTTATCTCCAATTGGTATGAGGCTTTTTGAGGTAAAACTCAATAACAAAACTGTGCAGGCTCGGGCCCAAAACAGATAATATCATACTATATGGTGGTGTGCCATTACATATAATCTTCATAGAAAATCAATTTACACGTATCTCTTTATTTTTTTTAATAAGGGATTAATAAGAGAGAACTTGTACTAAATCCAATTCAAAACAGGTATATGTTAGGATTGTATGACCTTCATAGCCAACCTTTAAATATATGTTATTAATAAATCTCATTTATTTAGTATTTAACATACATATATGGTGAATTCCAATATTGATTGACTTTAGAATTGAGTTATTGTTCATTGATTATATAGTAGTATATATTCTGATTTATCTACATACCATAACGAGTGATATGCATTGGAGATATAAATTATAAGATTTTACATCTTCATAAATTTATGATCACACAATTTTTGTAGAGTTAGTCTCTCTAGTCTGTAACATGGTAATATATATATATATATATATAGACTATTATTTATAGAATGGTTTATCTCAATCATTATAAATAGATGATTAACTGTTTTGACATCACCAATGATGTCATGCATGTTATGTCATCAATTTTGTCTGCTAGTGAGGTCTGGACAACTCAACACAGGTGTGAATTGTCTATTTTGTTCCTAGAACTGAAATTTTGGTCAAATGAGTGTCCAAACTGGAACATAACCAATACTATTATAATGATTTCTAAGGTTTTTGGACCTTTTTGAATGCAATGACAATGTTGTTTGTCCATTTGATTATTTGACCCCTATCGTAAGGTTTTGGTTATAGGTGGGCATGGAAGGGAAATAAGGCAATATTACAATACATTATAAGGTTTTTGGACCTTCTGAGCATGATGGTGATGTCCGTTGGTCAGTTTGACTGCTTGTTTGAAAAGTTAATCTTTTGAATTGACCATTTTGCCCCTATTTTAGGGTTTTTGATAGACCAAGAGGGGGATGGGGTGAATTGGTCTATGTAAATTTCTTTTTTAATCCCAAGTAAATCAATGATGCACATAATAGAATTCAATGCTATTGTCAAGCAATTCACAATCAATTCACAAGAACACAAATTTTACAAGGAAAACCTTCTCAATAGGGAAAAACCTTGGTTCTTGGCCTCAGCAAATAAAGTCTCCACTAATTGTATGCAAGTAGTTATATACTCGGCTATCTCATTCTCTGCACACACCCTTGTACAAGATAAAATACTAGTTTTCACAACCTCTGCACACACACTAGCTCATCTAAGTGCACATATCACTCCGCTTGTCCACAACACCCTTTCTTAGACCTTCAAAGTTCTCAATGGATTTCTTAACACAACACAAAGGTGTCAACCCACCAAATACATCATACACAAGCTATTACAAATGATAAGAGTGCAGCCACAGCTCTAAGATGTAATACAATTGAAGCCCTAGCTTAACTTATATAGAATTGGACTTTTGAAGTGTCAAAACACAATGTAGCTTCTACACAGATCAATAGATGAAGTTCACAGCATTGACTTAGTTAATTACACTTGCTCAGATGATAAATTCAATTAACTCAGCAAGGTATATCAAATTCTTCACAAAACAAGACTACTCCCTGATACAAACCTTCTTTTCAGGGTAAGATTAAGTCAGCTGCTGGAATACTTCAAACACACTCTTTTCAGTGGCTCTCATAACACCATACCGACAACATACTATGATGAACTGGGGGGGGGGGTGGGTGAATTAGTTCTTGTATAAACTTTCTTTTTTATTTGATCAATATAATATAACTAGGATGATGACAGATTCAATAAGCTTACACATACTTATAAGTACTCAGTGCATTTACAAGGAAAACCCTCTCAATAGGGAAAAACCTTGGTTTTTGGCCTCAGCCAATAAAATCTCCTCTAGTTGTATGCAAGTAGTTACACACTTAGCTATCTCACTTTTTGCACTCACCTTTGTACAAGATCAAACACTGACTTTCACAGCCTCTACACACACACTAGCACCATTAAGTGTACTCTGCACTCTCCCTGTCCTAAGCAAGTAAGCAACCCCGTTTGATCCTGCAAGCTCTCACAGCTCACCAATTACATATAAAAGGATGTATTACAACAATACTCAAGCTATTACACAAGATAATACAAAGTATCAGCTTAAAGTATCACTACAAACACCTCGCATTCATTATGCTAAAACTAGGATTTAAGGGGTAAAATAGGAATTTTATGTCCCAAAAACTCAGAGATGAAATCCTTAGCCTT